ATGTTGGTTTATCCTGATGCTGAGTCCACGGCCACCCAGGGCGGAAACTCTTTCCCGTCTCCCCTGGGGGTGAGGCGTACCATGTGACTATGTTCCGGCCAATGGGATGTGACCTCGGGGGCCGTGTACAGGCCTGCTACCTGGCCTTGTGCGGTGTGTGTCAGCAGCTGGCAAAGGGAAGCCGTGGATTTCGAATGGCAGAGCAGCAGGACAGGAGGGACCTGGGATCTGATGCTGCGGAACGCCATGTTGGCCTTTCTGTGTGTGTGTGACTGGGCGGGTCTGTGAAAGCGATGAGCTTCCGTCCGTCCGTGGGAGTCCCCGTTCTAACCCTGGCCTTCGCTGCGGCGGCCAGACCGGCAGCCTGCCTGGTCCAGGGAAGGTTTCTGCTACGAGGCACTGGTGTAAGTCGGGTGGAGGAGACGTGCAGGACCTCCTTACATCTAACGGTATATAGTGACCATCTCAGTTTACATAAACGGCCCAGATAAAGAAGGGGAATGTTGAGGGACTTAAACTTTTTACTCGCAGATGTCAGAGCAGGAGAACCCCCAAGGAACTGCAGCGCCGTTAAGTGGCAGCGGAGAGAAGGCACGTGCGGTTTTCACGATTGGACCCAACGCCTGCACAAAACTAGGCCAGCTTCCAGCGTTGCCGCTGAGCCCTCCCGGTCAGCTCGGGGCGCCCAGGCCCTTGACCGGGATCCAGAGGTTTTCAAATAGTCAACATCTGTTTTTCAAACAGTCAACATCTGTTTCTCTAATTCCTTCTTTATATCTTCGTAGAACAAACCCTGACATTGTAAACTTCCTTTCACCAACGCGCTGCCTTCGTCCACACGGCGGCCACAGGCAACCCGCGAGCAATCTTTAGACGTGAGTTAGGCATAAAATAGCTTCTCCTTCCTAAACAGGGGAAAGAAAAACCTCAATTCGTTACCAGAGGTGGCATTTTGGGTCTGAGGAGACTAAAGGAAGCCCATAAAAACGTGCTAAGCTTCCACATGTTAACGAGATGTCACTTGGCGGGAGAATTTTCATAATTAATGAAGCAGCTCAATTTGCCGTGCCCGTTGACTGATGACCGTGTCGCGGAGTGTTCCCAGCGGGACTCTCGGCCGTCGGTCTGGGGAGCTCTCCTGTCCACGTGCCTGGGTGTGGATCGAAGTGCTGGCACTCAATACCTGCCTTGTTGAGTGGGGACCAGTCACGCGGCTCGATGACAAACCCCACGAGCCTGCACCGAGCCGCCGCGTGGCCCCGATGGGCGGACTGAAACCGAACAGACGTAAAACCGAAGCTACTTGGGGAAGAGATTGCACTGCTTGTTGCCTGTTTTACAGTCTTAGGAGGAGACTTCATACCATCGAACATGCGCTCCTCATTCTGCCGTGGATCTGGCAGAATGAAATGACTTTAGCGTCCTCTTTCAACCGTCCAATTTAATCTGCTTCGCTGCAGGTACGGTTCAGGGGGATAAAGGATTTGCACGACAAGTGGTTATCGGCCAGTGTCCAATCAGTGTACTCTTCCGTGTAGAAACCAGGTATTTCAAAGAAGGAATTTCCCTGTCTAGAGACTTTGAAGTGCATGATTTGAGAGGGAAGAAGGAACCACAAAAGGGGGTGGGGATGTTACCCCAAGATTAGTAGCTGCAGGAAGTCACTGCCCCCTTACAAGCGAAGAAACCGGAGGGAAGTCATTGCCGCTGAGACTGAGCTGGCGCAGCAGAAACCTAGAAGCCACCCTTGCCAGCCTTCGCTGTGGCTGCCGCCATAGCCAGAGGCACGGCTGGAAGGTGGAATAATAACATCGTCCTTCCTCCCCATCTTCCAACAGGGGTAGCAGGAGTCTGGCTGGCAGGGATTCTGGGAAATGTAGTTTCCAGGCATCCTGTCCCGAAGTCTGGGGTGAGGACAGAGAAGGGAGAGAGTGGAGCTGAAGAACGAGAGACACTTGTCCGCTCCCGAGTGTCTCCCAGGACATCTGCCGTGTTCATTTATAGCAGATGCGCATTGCTTGAGATATCTCGCCTTGACATCACAGATATCACCCCTGTGAGATCATATACAATTCTGATCTGGCATATACACACAATTCTGAAGTTGTATGGATGCCAGTAAGCGTTACATTGAAAATGTTCATGTTAATATTTATTCTGACTTTTTTTTTGTAAGAAAGAAGACCAAAGCTATCATTTGCATCCTTTGCCTCCATCGTGCCAACCCTGTCTTTCTATGATGATCAAAAATAATTAAATTTAAATGGAAAAGGTAGTGAAGAAATGATATGAAACCCTCCTTAAACCTCCTATGTGCCTCTCCCCCCCGTTGAGAGAAGAAGTCAGGCAGCAGATAAAATGCCCCGGCAACCCCGGCCGAGAAGCAGCTGGGGGAGATGTGACATGCTACAGGAGCCCAGCTGCCCCCTGGGGTCGGGGGCTTCTGGTGGTCTACGCAAGTCACGGAACTGGAGAGTTGAGGACACAGACAGAAGCCCTTCGCTCCGCTTTGTGGCCCAGCAGTGTTTTACGGGGCAGCCTTAAATACAAAGAAAAAAGAAAAAAGCCTCTAGGCCGTAGTGGCATTGCATAAACAGGACTGGCTCCTCGTTTTTGTTCGAGTTCATTCTCATCTCTTCCCGGGAGTCTGGGAGGTGCTTCTGGGGGGCACTTGCCTCCCTGGCGGGAGGTGGCTCAGCAGACTGGCAATCACCATCGTGTTCACAAGCCCAGTCCCGTAGCTGGAGGGTCCAGGCGGCTGCTCCCTCCCTCCCTCCCTCCCGAGCTGCCGTGGGACGAGGCGGAGCGGCTGACACCACACTGAGGGGGCTGGCGAGCTGCAGACAAGTAATCCGCCGGGGGAGAGACCTCTTTGATCTTCGCACCAGACAGCAATTTCGGCAGAAACCTTCTCTTTTTTTCACGGCGGCGGGATGAGCATCGGCGACTCACCTGGCGTGTGTGGGGGTTGCCAAGAGGAAGCAGAGCTGGTCTGTAGCTCACCTGTGTGCTAAGCCGTGCAGTGAGAAAGGTCCGTGTCTTTGTTAACTACCAGAAATGGTCTGAGTGTCTCATACAGGCAGGTCATGTGTTGTCTCATGTTTTTAATGACCTGGTGGATTTCGGCGGCTGTAAGATGCTCGCCGGGCCCGAGTCAGGTCACGGCTGCTTTCTCTTGGATCCTGGGAGTGAACCGTACGCATTCCATCACCGTTGTTAAATCCAGTGCAGTGCTCGCCTTTCGATTTCCCGGGCAGCACCCGCTGTCAGCCTCCAGGGAGGGAACAGAGCTGTAGGTGGGCCCTTGGGAAGGCTTCCGACCCATCGTGTGGCCACTTGAAGGACCAGGAAGGCTGCTTAGGTAGAGAGTGGTCCGGAGAAGAAAGCAGGTCTGGACAAAGGGCGTCTGCTGATGCCTGTGGCCAGGCTTCTCATCCCAGGCCGTGCTGGCCCGGTCAGCGTCTGCGGACGGACAGCGCAGCCAGTGCCTTGGGAAAGGGGCCGTGGTAGCTGCGGGAGGCCCCGTCTGTCCCGCCTGTAAGTCCTCTCCGTGAAGCACCCAGTTCAGCTCATCGGAATCCGCTGGTTTCGGGATCGTGGTCTTTTCTTGAATTCAGTAAGCTACGCTGCCTCCAGCTGGACAGGCGGTAGGGCGTCTATGGTAGCCACTGTTATTTGGATCCTGTGTTCATCTTCTGCATGTACCAACAGGCTATCAGTAAATACCTACAGAGCGAGTCAGCAGACGGGTTCTGAGCTCGGGCCATTGACTTCCTGGTGGAACCCCCTCTCCCAGCATCTGCGGGACACGCCGGCTTCCTTGCCTGTGTGGGCGTCTGCCAGGCTCGCCCGGGAGGGGTTGCGTTCAGGGGCACAGGCCACGTGACGTGTCAGGCAGATCAAAGCAGGGATTTCAGGGCTGCCTGCAGGGGGAAATGGGTAGTCATTAGTGCAAGGATGTGGAATGGGTCATGTTGATGGAAAGAGCCTGGAGCCTTGGCAGAAGGCTCCCACAGGCTGCCAAGACGGACAGACCGGCCGCGTGAGTTGTGCACGAGGGAGGCTTGCAGGGTCGGCGCTGCTGCGTGAGGGGGAACGGGGTCCGAGGTTTACTGACACCCAGGCCCCGGGCACACCGATCGTAAGCGCCTCTTCACCTCCGGCCACAGTTTTTGCTTTGTTTTTAAGTGGAGCCTCCAGGGACCGTTGGGGGGGCATAGAGACACTTGATGACGATGTTTCATTCTGAGAGCCAAGCTGTGGTTTCTCATTTGCCATTTCTTTTCATTGCTTCACGTTAATATGTTTTGTCTCTAGATTCAGGATCAAAGGAACCTTCCCCTTGCCCTTGATCACTCATCTCTCCTCCCCCCGCCCCCCCGCCGTGGGCAGTCTAATGCATGAATGAAACCACGTCCACGGCCCGGAATATGTGCGTCTGCTGGCTTCTCCGCCGTGGCTGCAGCCACCGTACGCCTTTTCGGTAGCTCGGAGGTGAGGCGTAGAATGTGCGGTGGGTTGGAGACACAGGTAGTGGTGTGGGGAGAGAATGCATGGGAGGTGAGACCCATCTCAGCAGGGGGCTGCTGCTGTGCTCTGGAAAGTCTCTGCTAACAGATTGAGAGCGTAGGAGGTCTGGGTGCAGCTGTGTGTGTGTGTGTCCTTGGGAGTCTGCGGACAAATCACGGAACCTCCGGAGACAAGTTCCACCGATTGGCTGGGAGACGTGTGAACTTATCCATCGCCTCATTGAGTCCGTAATCCGTTTCTCCAAAGGAGGGATGATGTTTGATCCTTTCTGCAATCTTCGTAAACATCTCAGGACATGCTGTCCCTGCAAGGAGCGGATTCCGCTGCTCTGAACCTTGTGACAGCGCAGTTTGTTACTTTCTGAGTTATCTCTGTCCTCTTCCTTTGCCCTCCCGCAGTCGCCTTCCAGCTCCCGCCGACCTCCTTCCGCACACCGGTGCCGTGGACGGCAGTGCAGACCGGGGGAGTGTGCACACGGCACGTGGCTGCCTCACCTTCGGTGGTCGAGGGTGCGGTTCCCACCCTGGGAGCAGACTTCGCCGTTATGGGTGATCTTGTGTATGGGGACCGGCTTGCGGTACATATGAGAGATGTGAAGATAATAAGCAATTAGGGGCGTTGGGGACATGGGACTTTGCTCATTTCTCTGTCTTCAGAAAGGGGTTAAGATTTGGCCAATCTTAACTTATAGAGGGAGACTACACTGTACCTACAAAACCATATATCTATAAATATGATATAGTTTATGATATAATAATGTGATGCATTTTATTATGTTATGTATTACATATGTTATATGTACTATGCATAGTGCATGTCATACACATGGTTCCATATGTGTGCTTGTGTCATGTGTATACATGTGATTCCAGTGAGAACAGCCACATCTGGCTTTCCCAGAGTTCTCTGTGGCTTTGCCCCTCGGATACGGCAGAGGTGTTTGTTGCTGCTCTGTTACAGGATGCTCTTTTCCCTTGGGAAAGAAACAATGTCTTAAACTTTTCATCTGTGATCTTGTTTTTTAAGATTTTATTTTTAGAGAGGGGAAGGGAGGGAGAAAGAGAGGGAGAGAAACATCCGTGTGTGGTTGCCACTCAAGTGTCCCCTACTGGGGATCTGACCTGTCCTGCAGCCCAGGCATGTGCCCCAACTGGGAACTGAACCAAAGACCCTTTGGTTCGCAGGCTGGTGCTCAACCCACTGAGCCACACCAGCCAGGGCTGTACTTCTGTGTTTGATTCAGTGGCTCCTGGCATGTCCCACCGAGCTCCCTGGGCTAGGAGGCTCCGTGGTTTTCAGTGCAGTCCCGCTAGGCTGGGCCGGAGGAGCCAGCTTGCATGGAAGCCTGAGATGAGAGTCTTCCATCGAAACTTTCAGAAGTGAGGACATTTTGTTTCCAGATAGGGAACAGTACTGTGTCTGGGCCGGCCACCTCTGCCCACACTTCCTCCTGGAGGCTGTGCCAGCAGACACGGGGGCTGAGTGCTTCTCTCCGCCCTTAGGCGCTGCCCTGGGGGCATGCGGCGTGGATGCCACCGGATGCACCGTGCAAACAGCGGCCTTCCTCTGTATCGACTGGGCAAGGTCCCAGTCCTGTGGGTGAACACGTCGCTTTACGGCAGCGTGTGGGCTCCGAGTGAGTATTATGGAACAGAGAAGCGCTTTGTCTAAGCGCGGGGTCCCTTTCTAGGTGGGGGAGACTAGCGCTCCTGCCCACGGGAAGAGCTGGAGCGCAGCGATGGGTGAGAACAGGCCGACGGTCAGGGCTGCTGCAGGAGGCGTGACGAGGGCCTTTCTGAGGACCTGCCACCTAAACTGCATGCACGGGGCAGGGAGCAATCGGCCAGGCAAGGACCTGGGGGAGGAGGCTTCCAGGTGGGGGAAGAGTAGGTGTAAACATCCCCAGGGAGTGACAATGTACCCTAACTACTCCATCTTCTAAGAGCACCCTTTTCCCCGTGCACCCCTACTTTCTTGTGGTTCAAAGAGAAGCATTCTTTCAGAGCCCGTGAGCATACGGGGTGGGGGGGCTGCTTCCAACAGCATGGGTTATTTACTTTTTTAAACAGACTTGACTTTAAAAAAATATTTTCGTTTTAATTTTTTATTGTCACCTCTTAAAAGTACTTTTACGTTCATTTCATTTTTTTCATTGCTTTTAGTGAGAGAGGAGGGTGGAGAGAGACACATGGATCTGAGAGAGAAACGCAGACTGGCTGCCTCCCGTTCATGCCCTGACCGGGGATGGAACCCGCAACCCGGTGTGTGCCCTGACCGGGGATCAAACCTGCAGACTTTCAGTTATGGGACGAAGCTCTGGCCACCTGAGTCACACCAGCCAGGGCTCTGTGCACTTGGCTTTCGAGAGCAGGTTTTGAGCAGAAGGTACAGAGATTTCCCATACGCCCCCCTCCATCCCCCACCCCCCGGTCCCGTACATGCGCAGCCTCCCCCACCCCCCATCCTGCACATGCGCAGACACCCCCACCCCCGGTCCCGCACATGTGCAGCCTCCCCCACTATCGGCGCCCCCCAGAGCAGTGCATTTGTTGCACCCGAGGGCCCGCATCGACCTGTCGTCATCACCCTGAGTCCACGCGTCACCTCAGGGCTCGCTTTTGGTGGTGTGTATTCGGTGGGTTTGGACAAATTACAGCGGATACAAAGAGTTTTACTAAAAACCCTCCGACTGACTGGTTATTGGCAAGTACAATGCAGCCTCCCAAACGGCGCGTACGTGGCAGGAGGAGGACAAAGGAACACAGCCAGGGCAGCTCTTCCCCCCTCTTTCTTCAAGATCGTAAAGGTCCTTGACACGTGGAAGGCAGGCTTTTATTAACTAGGCGTTTGTATCATAAACATAATTCCCAGACAAGCAGGAAAGTCCCAGAATTCTGAGTCATTGACGTCTGAATGGACGTTTTGTCAGGCCAAGCATTTGCTGCTACAAATAAAGCATTGACGAGTGAAACAGTGGCTTGAAACGAACAGGGAAAGTTTTAAAATGTGCACTTGGCCTTCAGAAGACAGTGCTGTGATTTATAACAGATTTCCCCTTTAATCTGTGCTCGCATTACAAGAAAATCTCTCTTTTTGGCCACAGATAGCCATCCATGCCCCATGCGAAGGAGGCCCATTAGCTGCAAATAACAAAACAATTACATACAATTTCATGCGGAAAAAACAAGACATGCTCTGGATAGAGGGTGGGTATCGGCTCCTGGCGGGCAGGACACAGGGCCGCCATAGCGTCTTTTTCCATGACGGGAAGTACAAGAAAACGAGGAAGGATTCTCCTTGTGCAGTACAACTTTGTCAGAAAGATCGGTGTGGTTTATTTCTTATTCGGGGCTGCCGGAAGCACGGCTGGGTTGTTTTAACACCTGTGTACACTGCAACAATAGAAAGGTGTGGCAGTAGAACTGGAGAAAGTTCAGAGAGGGGCGAAGAGTCAGGTGTGTGAGGCTCCGGGCTCTGAGCTCTATTTAAAAGAACTAAATACTCCATGAGGACTTGGCCTCACCAGCAAGAGATGACGGGAACCACTAGCTGTGCCCACACGGCGCTCGAAGGGAACGAGTTTCAAAAACGAGAGAGTGAATTAGCTTGGTACGAATGCTGGGCTGGACACTCAACGGGTGGAAGTCAGGAGGAAGGGGAGCCTCCTTGTGCAGATAAGGTCGCAGAATTTGAAACTGAGACACCCGCCCAGGATGCCCCCTCTAAGCCTCAGGGACCACCATGGAAAAGGTGGGCGAGGGAGACCCTAAGAGCTGGGCGCGATGGGTAGGCAAGTCTGACGCCATCTTACCAGCCCATCCTCCCTCTTGACTGAACCTGGACCCAGGCGCCCGCCCTATATCCCTCCCGAGTGAGGACTGACCCACAGAAAGGGGGGAATCGTAACCACGCAGAAATCTTGTTTTCTTTAATCTAGCCTTTTATTTCGATTTTTTTTTTGCTTTGACTCCCGCTGGCCTCACCCCGCGCCCTGACTCACCTACCTCCTGCCTCCTGGCTTCATCAGAGGCCCTCAGGACAGTGAGGCTCTGGTCAGCAGCCAGTAATCTCAGAAACAAGGTCCTGGGTCTATTGACTGTTGAGACAGAGTTTTCAATCAAACCAAAGACAGTATCTTGGCCTCAGCTGTGCTTTAGCTTCAGCCCCGGGAAAGTGGAATGATTCCACTGAACAGATCCCTGCGAACTTGGGCAGAACAACTGCATGGCTGACAACAGGCCCAGATGCAGCGATCCGTTATCCCCCAACTCAGCGCTGACCGCAGCCCTAACGCCATCGGTCACCGTGATGAATGACCGTTCCCCTGTATCATTCATCCCTGGCAGCCATCCGGGAGCGGGGCCTTTGAGCACGAGCTACCTGTGGCTCCTGGCCTGGCGCCATCTCCTTAAGAAACTCTTACTTTCTTGGCTGCAGCTTCCCCCCATCCCCCCAAAAAACCACCCCACCCTGCTCATGGGCTTAAGTACCATTTTTTTCCACCTTAAACTTTCCGTTTTCTTAACCCTTCCAAACAGATTTTTCCCTGACTCAAACTGTCCACTTGGGCAAGGAAGCCCAGCCCGAGAAACTCGGGTCGTGCAGAGGAGGGGGTGCAGCTGTCCATTCCGGGGGGTCTGACTGTGTGGGCGCAGCTCCCGTAGCGGGAGGAAATGCCGGGTCCTCTTCTGTCATTCAGTGGGATGGAATCATTCTCCCCCGCGGTACTGCAGGTCCCGGGGCTGAGTCTCACAGTTCCTCTGCTTTCTCCCCGACACGGAACCTGTCTGGGCTCTAGCCGAACACTCCTGGGGGTGGGCGAATCCGTCCTTTGGAGCCGGCTCATTTATTGGTGTTTCCGTCCATATTCACAATCGCGGCAGCACCATGAAATCGCCTGGTGGAGTTTACAAACCTTTATTCCCTGGGCCCCCCGTCCCCCCAGAGACCCAATTGTTCTGGGGAAGGTGCCGGCTTCAGTGTCATTGAAGACCCTTCACACGAGGGGCCGCTGAGGTTGAGAGCGAGGGCCCTGGTGTAGGAAATGCTGCCTCCTGCTGAGGAACTCGCTCCCTGGAGCCCCCGGCCAGGGGGGCCTGATTCTGTCCCCTGGAGCTAATCCGCTTCCTCTTTCCTGGGACAGGCTTTCCGACTCGTGAGGTCGATGACCTGCCCCATCACTTCCCCGAGGCTGTTTCTTCACGGGGGCAAAGTCACTCAGTTTTCTCCAAGTCCCTCCTGTCCTGCGGTTTTAGTTCCTCACCATCCTCATCGTAAGCCGTCTTGTCAGGATGCCACTTCCAGTGTGTGTCTCTTCACGCTTTCGTTTCATCGCGAGCTTGCTGCCGGCTAAATCCCCTCAATTTTCTCCTGCAAGGAGCTCTCGGCTCAGCCAGGGAGCCGAGCATGCCAGCGAACCAAAGCTTCCCCATCCTGTAATTACGAAATTGATTGTTAAAGTCTGGATGCAGGACTTCTGTTTATCCTCACTGAATTTTACCTTGCTGGGTTTAGCTAGTTAATTGTGTCCTCCACACAATGAAGGATTGCTTATCTAGTAAGGCATCTTCCTATCTTTATCCATGTTATCGATCACAGTGGCAATAATAGCTTCTAGGTATATTAAATTTTCCTTGGCTTTATTGGGGCGACACTGGTTAATACAATTGTATAGGTTTCAAGTGTACAATTCTGTAACACATCGTGTGCAATGGCTTCTATCTGTTCGCTACGAGAGCACCTCAGTGACTGTGAACACTTGTGGCCCAGAAGCGTCACCAGCCTGGATGGAAAGAGACGGGTAGCGCCCCAGTGTCCACGGGCAGGAGGTATGGCGGGAAGGCTGCAGAGTCACCAGCGAAGTGTTCTTAGAACGAAGGAGGCCCGGGGACAGGGACAAGAGCCCAGCACGTAGGGCTAGGAGCCCCTGGAGAGTCCCGGGCCGAAGAGGGACGCTTGCACACCCGTGCACCGGGCTCGCAGGAATGCTGCGGACTGGGGCCGACCGCCTGCCCCGGCGACTGTCTCTCCCCTCCCGAATGCGCATGTCTGCCGCGGTTATCCTGGGCTTGCCGCCCTCTGCAGCGTGGTGTCTGTGTGTGTGTGTGGGGGGGGTGGCGGTGGTGAAGATAGCGTGGTTCTAGCTCCTTGTTCACAGTGTTCGGGCGGGGACGAACAGGTACTCAGGGAGCTGTACCCAGGGAGTCACATGCAGAGGACTTCGGTGCCAGCTGGACAGGGGTCAGAGCGGGGAGACTTCCGGCGGGTCTTGGGAGGGGGGCGCGCATCTCGCCGATGGGCGGGATGCGAAGACGGTGTGTCCAGAGGCGGGTAGAGTCTGGGCTCTGTAACCGTTTGACCGGCCGCACGTGCGGAAGGGGCTGTGCTGGTTTGCAGGCGCCGGCCTTACGAAACGGGCAGCTTCTGCTTCCACCTCTTGAGATGCTTATTCTCGGAATCCAGGCGCCTTGCCGAGAGCAAGCCCAAGCTGCCCCGTGGAACCCCGGGTCGGTTCCCACGGAACCCACTGCCAGCCGTGTAAGAGACTCACCGTGCAAGCAGGGGCTCAGCCCTGCCTGTACCAGCTGGGGCGGGGATGAGCCCCGCTCCGAGCCAGATGTGTGAGCGCGAAATCACTGTGGCTGTTTTAAGTCACTAAGTGAGGAGTGATTTGCTTCACAGCGATAAGTAAATACAATGGCACCAGGCACTGGGCCGGTGACTTTTCATGTATTTTCTGATTGAAACCCTCCCAACAGGGCTGTGACACAGGCATGATTCCCCCTGCGAGATCCATGAGAACGCAGGCTCCCCGGCTAAAGAACGGGCCCAAGGTCCCGCGAATAGTAAATGGCAATTTTGGGATGGAAACTGGGCCTCGTATCATTCTCTGCACCTCTAAAAGGCTGAAGAGGAGGGCAAGGGGGTCGTGGAGCCACTAACAGCTACGTACAGAGTACGTTTTCTGGAGAGAGCAGTGAATGAAACACAGTCTGCCGAAACGCGACAGCTTGCGGGGGGAGTCAGACGCGGAGACGGAGGAACGCAGTTCGGCACGGTGTGCGGTGGGAGTGGAAGCAAGGAGACAGAGCCGTGTCTCCAGTCCTTTCTCCACAGCTCGCTTACCTGCACAGGTGCATAGATTTTACGTGTATCCACGTTTTCATGAAAAGGTAGTCTGCAAATGTTCCATGACCTAACCACGTTCACATCTTTGTCCGTCACGTAGAACGGGCCCGCTTGTTTTAAATTGATGACCATTTCTGTTTTTGGAACTTCTGGTTTGTCTTGGTCAGGAGTGCCTTGCTTCAAAGTTATAAATTCTCTGTATGTGCTCTTAATGTTTATAGGTTTTTTTC